AGTAAGGTAGAGTAAGGTAGGGGTGTAGGAAATAAGAATAAAGCGATTAATGAAGAAGGTTCTTAGTAAAGATAGGTAGAAGTGATTATAAGATGGAATAGAAAGTAGGTTAGAGTATATTGTATAATGTAGGATGAAATGAGAAGGTGATATAGATGTCAAGTTCGAATGGATAGAAGGAGAGATAATAAGGAGTATAGTAGTAGGAGTTGATAAATGAGAAGTAGTATTGTAAAATAGTAAGTAAAAGTGTAAGGGTTAGGAAAGGGGTATTTTAGTATGAAGCAAGGGCTATATTCATTGTGAGGCAAGGGCTATTTTAGGTGTTAGAAAAGGGGTGTGTTAATTGATAGAAAAGCGTTGTTTTAAGGGATAGAAAAGGGGTATGTTAAGAGTTGGGGCACGGGTATGTTAAGAGTAAGAAAACGGCTATTATACGTGTTAGAAAACCGGTGTGTTAGGTATTAGGTAACGGCTAATTAAGTAGTAGACAAGCGGTATTTGAAGTGTTAGACAACGGGTGTTTTAAGGGTTGGGAAAGGGCTATTTTAATGGTTAGGCAACGGGTGTTTTGAGTGTTAGACAACGGGTGTTTTAAGGGTTGGGAAAGGGCTATTTTAATGGTTAGGCAACGGGTGTTTTGAGTGTTGGACAACGGCTGTTTTAATAGTTAGACAACGGCTATCTTCATTGTTAGACAACGGCTATTTTAAGGGTTAGGAAACGGCTGTTTTCATTGTTAGGCAACCGCTAATTAAGTATTAGACAAGCGCTATTTGAAGTGTTAGGCAATTGCTGTTTTCAATCTTAGACAACGGCTATATTCGTTGTGAGGCAAGAGCTATTTTAGGTGTTAGAAAAGGGCTGTTTTACTAGTTAGATAAGCGGTGTTAGAGGTGTTGGATAACCGCTATTTTACATGTTAAAAAACGGCTCTTTTACTAGTTCGATAACGGGTGTTAGGGTGTTAGAAAACGGCTATTTTAAATGTTAGGTAACGGCTATTTTGAATGTTAGACAAGCGGTATTTAAGTGTTAGAAAACGGCTGGTTTTACTATTAGACAAGGGCTGTTTTTCATTGTTAGGAAACGGGTATTTTAAGTGTTAGACGACCGCTATATTAATTGTGAGGCAAGGGCTATTTTAACTGTTAGGAAAGCGCAATTTCCAAAGTTAGGTAACGGCTGTTTTAAATTTAGGGTAACGGCTGTTTAAGTGTTAGATAACGGCTATTTGAATAGTTAGAAAACGGGTATTTTAATCGTTAGGAAACGGCAATTTCCAATATTAGGAAACGGCTGTTTCAAATTTTAGGTAAGGGCAATTTCAGATGTTAGACAAGGGCTATTTAAGTGCTAGGCAAGGGCTATTTTAATCGTTAGGAAACGGCTATTTTAAATGTTAGAAAACGGCTGTTTTACTAACATACTGGCAGCAATGGATTGTAGTAGAATCCGTTGAAAAGACCATAGAAAATGAAGTGGAGACGGTAAAGACATGGGGTAGAATCCGATGAAAAGACAGGGGGTAGAATCCGATGAGGTTTTCTTGGGTAAAATAGACATTATAGATATGCATCGAAAGCTGGGAATTAGGCGAGCTCAGAAATCATCTTACTTTTATTATAAACCCAGTATCTATCTCTATATCTATAGATTCGTGATTGACGGTTTGATAGGGTCAAGATGGCTCGTGCATGGCTAGACCAATCATCGGTAGGGTAGCTGTTACATAGATGGCTCGTGCGTCGAACCTTTGAACTGCATCACCATTAAAGCTAGACGTCTAGTAAAGGCTAAGAGCAGTCAAGATCTCAAGCCGCATATGTTTAACGAGTTTATATTTGGCCGTTTCATTCAGTAACTAGTTTAATGCAACCCCTCTATGTATAACTATAGAATCTGCATTCTGTAGTATACGTTCATCATGCCCATAATATCATAAAGCATGCCGACCTTATCCATCTCGGTAAGCCTAGTGCGTGTTCTGGCAGAAAGGCTTAGTCGGGCGACGACCAGTAAGCAATAGTGACCGCTTATAACTTATTTCGTTATTTGTCTTTCGTTGTTCGATAAGATCTAACAATCGGTTATTACATGCGATTATTACATATGGAATCGTTACTTACTATCCGTAGTATCGGCGCGCTAGGCTGTACCAAGGTGGTCTCCTATCGTGAGGATATTCTTCACCAGGACCATATCCTTTTGCTGGATGGTGACACGTTTGGCATGGATAGCAGCCAAGTTCGACACTAAGATGATTAGCAAATGAAAACTAGTAAATTAGGATAGCTTACTCTCAAAAACAGACGTCAATAAATCCTCAGACGCAGCCTGGAGCGCCTCTAATGCGCTTGCTTGAATACGAAGGCCGCCTTCATGCTCGGCATGCTTGGTGTTCTGGGTAACCTCTCGGACCAGTCGCTGGAAGGGGGTCTTCTGGAGGCAGAACCTCGTCGATTGCTGTATCTTCCGGATCTCTCGGAGAGCAGCCACTAGAAACATTAGAGATGTAATAACCAGATGTAATAATCAAACTTACCGCCAGGCTTGAAGCGTCGTTGGCGTTGCGTCTTACCAACAGTGATAGGGCGGCGTTGGCTAGTGGGGGGGGTGCGAGGACCGATGCGAGGACCGATGCTGGGAGCAGGGGAGGGAGTGTGGGCGTCGGAATCTGCCATGGTCGTAGTATGTATGATACCCTGTTTTTGTAAGTAATAAGAAAAGAGTGCAAGGAATTAAAATTACCTCAAATTGCTTGGGGAAAAAGTAAGAAAAAGGGAAAAGAAGAGGACGCAGGAGGCCTTTTTATATTAAAAAAAGAGAGGCCGGTGATTCACTGGTCGGAAGGTACGTACCACGGGTCGTGATAATTAGCAACTACCACGGAAGGTGCCTGCCCTCAATCACTCAATCGTAGCTATCAGCACCATATCTCATAACTTTTCTTTCGCTACGTGTCGGTCTTTTTCTTTTATTACATACCCGCCTTTTTACTTTACTTTCTCCCACCTTTTCCTCCTCAAAAGCCACCACTTTTGCCGCCTTCCGCCAACCTTCCTTACGTACATTATCTTGCAGAACACGATGTCGTCAGCTTCTCCTGGGCAAGGTAAGTCATACTGAGGAATATAATAATCACTCGTACTAATGATATCATAGACCAACCCCAAGGGTCCAGGGCCGGAGAGAAACGCAAGGCGCCGAATGAATACTCCGATAACCCCAATACCGTCAAGTTCCGGAAGCGAGTGGATAACATGAGCATGGCTGAGAGGGAGGTCCATAAGCGATATATTACAATGAACACTCGCTTTAGCCGCGAATTTTCGAAGCTTAAGAAGACAAGCGCATACCAGAATGCATCGCCTAGCAACCAGGCCAGGCAGAAAGACCAACTCCGCCAGGCTAATAAGGAATACTAGTATGGCAATCCTTCTAG